TATATATAATTACTTATCATTTCTACCTTTCTCGAGGGGATCAATAAAGGGTTATCTGGTCTTATCTTAATGACAGACAGTACAGCACCATTATGTCAAAATAATAGTGTTGTATATGGCTACATTATTTACTGAAGCCGTTATGAACACATACTTTCCCTTTGAGGATAATAAAGTTAATCAATAAATCAATATTTGTTAAGAATGGACCATTGTCATGTATGAGGACAAATATTCAGGAGCTTGCTCATTGGTGATATCGTACATATGATACAGCTTCTTTATCTATCCATCATGTGCAGTAAGGGTGATGTACAAACATTTACTCAAGTACTTATTTCTGAGGTATTTGTATATGGAGTATTTCCATTTGCTATTCAATATCATACGTTTTACTTCAATACGTTTATTTGAATTTAAGTTATTAGTAACTTTTCAGATTCTGAATTATTGAAACAAAATATAAATCATTATGATTATTATTAATTGCAGTACCCATCCATATATTAAGCAGTTTAAACCAGCACCACATTTACCAGCTGCAACATTAGTCACGCTTACACATTATTCTGTATTCTGTCTGATGAATACTTTTACTTTGTGACTCTATGTTAATACTTTTACTCAAGTTAACATTTGAATCCAGGACTTCTATAGGTTAACACTGTGCTATTACAACTTTTACTTAAGTCTTTTTTAAGGCAAACTTCATTTTATTTTGCCAGCATCATCGTTCGCCTAAAACACAGAGATGTTTCTTCTCAAATACAAGTCCCTTATAGGAAATACCCTCTGCTTTTACTTCCTGTAAAACGTGGCCCCAGCGTCGGGCAGCTCCGTGACCGAGAGCGAGGGCGAAACCGTAAACAGCCTGATGTCTCTGAGCTTACGTCTCACCAGGAAGAAGAGATGTAATAAAGATGACGAGAGGTAGCCCCAGGTAAAAAAGGAGGGCTGGAAAATGGGTGGAGCATGCAGGTAGACACACGTCGGAGAGTCCCTTCATGAACAGAACGAGAGAGAGAGAGACAACTCTGTAAAGCTGCTGCGAGTCAGTCGAATTCAGTAAGTACCGCAGTGGACAACGGATCTCTGAGGGGGCTTCAACGACTCTACTGCTGCTGAAGGAAATGAGGTGAGTCCATAGACACAGCAGCTTCAGTCTGTAGCATCAAATGACTCAAATACAGTTGACATATTTCTTATTCTTCTCGTTTTACACTTCCCTTTCCTCTGAGTTGTGTCAATACGCAATGACCTACATACATGAGCAATATGAAAGTTAATGCAGGGGTCTTTCTGGTTCACATAGTTCATATTATAGCCTATAGTATAGTTTAAAGCTCAAATGTCGATTAGTCATACTGTTTTTATTCAGTCATTATATAAGCAAATGCTCAGTGCTTCCAGCCTGTCTGGTTTCGAGTCAGTCAGACAAACAAGCTATTTGAATAAGTCAACATGAGCTGTAGAGCATTGTGTTGGGTGCTTTTTCATAGTTGCAACCATAATAAAGTTTGGGGAAACTGAAAGTAGTTACTTTCATTATTGAGTAATCTGCAGTTTATTTTTTTAGTTTTATTTTTTATTTTTTGGATTAACTGATTCATCTTTTGGTTTGTTTGTATTTTTACTAAAACCCAAATCTTGCATTGCAGTCCAAAACCCAAAGATATTCAGTTTATCATCACATTAGGACAATAAAAGCAGGAAATCCTCACAACTGAGAACCTGGGACAAAGCATTGTTTGTGTCCATTGATTCATCAACTAATGGCAGACATTTGTGCAACAGTCTTCTAACATTCCATATGTCTGATGTTGTCTTTCTCTTGTAGTCGTCACGCCATGGAAACACAGGCAGAAAATCAAAGGCCTAACAATGGCCAGTTGATTTCTGTGCCTCACAAGGATACAATCCGCCTTCTGGAGGTGTACGTCAAGCGCAGCCTCAGCCTAAATGATGGGGCACTGGGCACTGATAGGAAGGCTGAGAGGAAACAGAAGTGGGTGACAATGCCGAGAAAGCAAAGACGACATTCCAGTGACCCTTCCCTCCACTTGGCCGAGGGCTTAAACGACGAGGTAATCTGTAAGTTTTCTGCCGTGGAAGCTCCCGTGAATGAGCCCAGGACGCTTCATGAAGAATCGGAGAAACCCATCAAAAAATCAAAGAAGAACAAGAAGCCCTCCTTCTGGAAAAATATATTTGGTATTTTCTATCGGAAGAGTAACGAGGAGAAAGATGAAGATGAGGACGGTCCATCAGAGATCCCGGAGGTCTCCCAAGCAGAAGAGTCCTCTGACGCCGCCATCACGTGCCTGCCCACAACTCCGGTCACTTCACAAAGAAGAAAGTCTAAGAGAAGGAAATCCTTAAAAAGAAGGTTCTCTAAAAAACGGCTTTCTCTGAAATCTGGTAAAGATCTTATCGCTGCGGACATCACCCGGGTTGAAGGTAACTTTGAGGACTTGACATGACTTTGATAGATTAACACAATGTGTGTGTGACAAATGATATGATTCATTCAATCTGTCTGTAATGCAACCAGAATTAGTGCAAATCAGGGTTATATTACTGTACTTATACTAAAAATACTTGTACTGCATGCTGTAAATTGAAGTACATTAACAGACAATTGATTCTGGCTTTGCAGCTGTTGTCAGCGTGGAACCGACGTATGCTTACTATGAGAAAGTGTCAGAGGAACTGGAAAGAATCGTGCACGAGGTCCAAGAGAAAGAGGAAGTTCAACCTCTCTCTGATGGTGAGAAACTGTTTCTCTTCACGTTCATTAAGCCTGTAGGCAAATGTGGAAGTTCATGGCAGCATTAAAATACTTTTAAATTCATATTTCAAATTTAATTTAATTTTAATTTGAAAAATGTGGTCATAAAACATAAATCAATTTAATGCACATCAGACAATAAGCAGCATGTGAACAACTTTTGAGTAATGAGTGAGTCCATGCTGTCATTTCTCCTGGCTGTGTATTTTAGTTCTGCATTATTCAACCCACAAGAGTCTAATATCCTCAAATATTTAATCCTATAACTGCATTGATTAAACTGATTCATCATGAGTTGTTCAGTGTATTGATTACACTTCCCCTTGCTTTTGTTTATCTCAGAGGAAGTCATCAACAGGATCATTGCTTTGACAAAGCAGCAGGGTGATGCCATAGAGGACAAGGTTGGTATTCATCGCTGTTTTGAGTAGAACATTAGTTGACTGAAACTCTGTGTAGCCTTGAATAATATGGAAATATTTACAGGAAAACTGCTTTAAATGCTTCAGACAGAGTTGCGTTGTTTATAAAATCATGGATTTTAGAAAATTATTAAGAATTAATGATTGTCAGATCAGGTATTTTTAATAAACAGGTGCTTCAGCAGCTTCAGTCGAAAGCAAAGGACACACCAATAAGCCATAAAAAGTATTATAAAGTCCAGTAGACAATAAAAAAGTACAAACTCCATGACACAACTTTATATTGAAAGGAAAAGACACCCTTTTAGGCATCAATCTGTGATATCTAGTAAGTTATTTGGTGCTTTTCCTTCTATTCCTCTGCACGAGTTACATCATATGTTCTGTTTCCCAGAAAGCCCCAGATACAGGGTGCCATAGTCATAACAAGGAAATGTAAGAGAAGAGATTTAGTGAGTCATAAATCCACCTATGGAAACACAGCATGTCATGTGACTGCTCTGCACCAATCTTTCAATCATTTAAGCCAACAAAAAAACAGCTTCTTAAATGTGACATGTAGTTGCTTTACTTTTACATGTGATCGTAAACTGAAATTTGGACTGTTGGTTGGACATAAAAGCAATGTGCTGACATCACCATGAGCTTTAGTAGATTGTGATGTAACATTTTTCACCAATTCCTGACATTTTTTTATGACCATTTAAGAAAAATGTGTGGCAGTGTTAAATGTGTGCCTATTTTATTTTTTTTTTTCACCTGATATGAAATCATTTCGACAATCATCTATGTTTGATCATCTGCTGGAATAAGATATATAAAAACATTTATTATGCATCTTTATCAGCAGTAAAAACACAGATAGGTCAAAGTATACTGGATTTAATGACAGTCTCCCTCTCTTTATCTCCTCCAGCTGAAAGATAACCCCACCCTGAGCAACTTTTTCCAGCGGATGTCGTACTCGTCCTTCCAGACGTTGGCCGATGCATATCTGGAGAAAGAAGCATTGCCGACCCACAATCCTCCCACTGTCCCACCAACAGCACCCGAGCTGGTCAAGTTGGCCTTAACGTACGACTTTACAGCCAAGATAGCCAGGCTCTCTAAACAGAATATAGGACACATTACCGGCCTGGGGAACCGTTATCTACAAGACCGATTTGAATACCAACAGGTGAGAACCAGACCAGTTGAAAAGAGACTACAGTAAACATTAGAGGTAGCTTGGTGTTCTTTAGTGTGATATTACTTACATATATTATTTTTATAACCATATATAAGAGTAATGATTTGACTTTGGTTTAAATATGTTAACCATAGTTTTAAAACTCTCTTTTTTTTTTGTCTTTTACAGTCATGTTCAGATCATCCATGCTCTGACAGTGACGGCTGAGAGGCAGCCACGCAGAAACAAAAGTGATACGTTTACTCTGCAACTTCTCTCAGCACCACATGTGGTTAAAGATGTGTTGAAATTATAAGTTCCCCCCTTTTTTAACAACACAGTGGACTACCTAAAACCAATGTTAAGCTTGTAAAAAAAAAATATTTTGTGATAGAATATTTGTGTAATTCTGCAGTTTTAAGACATGGAGCCATATTTCAGAATTACAAATAGATGTTTCTACAAGTGAAACTATAATGTGATGCGTTTTATTTTTTACAAATCCGCCACTGAATTAAATGTACATTGATTTACAAACACAATGTATATTAGATAAACAACTCTGTGCAATAAATAAATATATATATATTTTTTACAATTCTAGGATTTTAAAATGTTTAAACTTTTTTAAATAGAAGCTAAACTTAAATGTGACTTGATTTTTGTCAATATGAATGCTGGCATTCAATAAAAGATATTTAATGTATTAATTGCTCATTCATTTGTGGTGTTTTTTTTTTATTATGAAACTATACATCACTCTCAGGTTTTACTGAACTTGTCTCCATAACTTTGCTAATCATCAAGTATGAAACCTTTATTCCAAGAAATCCACTCTGGCTCCACTAGAAGAAAAGTTTAAATAGATTGAGTAATCTCAAACAGCTGGAGGCTAATACTGCAGTTGCTTTTGGATCCCATTTTATAGCTGTTGGGGTCCAGAGCTCTAGAGCAACCTGGGGTCGGGAATTATGTTTATTTTTTCATACTACAAGTCTACCTTGTTCGTCATCTAAAAACCCCTCTTCAGTGGAACAGGTAACCACTGGTACACCTATGCCACTGGTGACAGGACAGTGATTCATTTTAAGCCAGAAATGTTGGGAAGCACTCCTGTATTTGATAAAGTAAGCTAATTGTTGGAAGGTGGAGGTCTGAACTTGTTTCCACCACACCTTTATAGTCTTACTACATACTACCTGAACTTCAAAGACAACAGCCTGCAGCACAAAGAAACCATGTGTTTTTAAGTACATTTGCACTGCAGTAACTGACACTGAAATTAACATGGAATGGAGATAATTGCAGCAGCCATACACAGTGTGGGCAGATCAATAAGAGGTGTGTGTATATTAACAATGATTTAAAGTTTGTTGACAGCGTCTATTATAGATTCCCAGCTGCCAGGTAATTATAAGATGGATTGTGGAAGCCTGTCAGATACATGCATGAAAGCATGCAGTGATGACTCTCACCTGTGGAACAGGTTCCCCTGCAGGCAGGAGAACTTTTCCAACAAAACAGAGGCCCGCCGTAACATCCTGCTAGAACTAATAGGTTCACAGGGGATTCTTGTGCATTCAGCAGCACAGCGCTAAGCAACACATGCTCACATACATACACAAGAGAAAAGAGGACGGCTGAAGCAAAGACAGATTAAGATTCAGACAACACAATCAGTCCCAGTGTCCCGATTCACTGCCATGTGACATGACCACAGAAATCTAATTGGTGTTTTGTGAGTCGTGAAGAAATTAATGTCTCTTTGTTCTTTAAGATCTGGTGAGAACTTTAAAACATGAATAGTGATATCTAGAGCTAGACCTGCTTACTTTAACACATTCAGGTGAGTACATGCAAGGTAGCAGGTAATGGAAAAATTATGTTCCCATTATCTTCAGATTACAAACAGTGTTGGTAAGTTTGATGACTAAATAAGCATGCAATCAAAACTGAATAGAAAATGAAAGATGTGTTGTGATGTGACTGATGACTAACGTCTCTTATTTCACAACACTCTTGGCTTGTCATACACCTGTAAAGCACAGGTGTAATTAATAACATTAATGACAGTTCTGCTGCCTGACTGCAGCCATTATGAGTGAGAGACATTACCATCTACTTGACCTCTTCTTTAAATGTGTGAAGTTGTACCCATTTTACAAGAGTCCATCAATAACCTCACCAAAAACATTTGGACTCAAGCCTGTCTGAATGGCATACAATTTATATGAAATGACTATTAGTTAAGGCAAAATGATAGCAATGTAAAACAAACCTTTAACAACGAAAACAACTAAAACTGCATGGCAGCAGCAGTCCTGTTTTGTATTGTGGTGGTGGGGCCACCTTTGAGTTTACAGTTAGATCATTGCTTGTCCCTTTAAGCCAATGCCATTATGTGGTTTCAGTTTTCTGGCCAACAGCAGGTCAGACGGACCACATGCAGGGTCTGGATTGCCTAATGATGACGGGTTGCCCAATCTAGACTATTTTTAGATGGCGACAAAGTAGCTTTCAACATCAAGCCTTAAAAGCCAGACGGTTTATTTCTAGAACACTTAACAGTAATGCCTTTGGGAATAATTACCTTTGCACAGTCATAATGAGGGCTATATTAAAACAAAAAGGACAAAAAGACAATGTGGTGTGTGTAAACCTTTTACATTTTTATTGCTTTTTAAACACAGAGAAGGCAGATTAGTCAAAGAGCCCGAAGCCCATATCTTCGTCTGACTCTTCCGATTCCTCTTTCTTCTCTTCCTTTTTCTCTTCCACTGGAAAGGAAACAGAGGAAGACAAAAGTCAGCAAGAATATTTAGCAGCACTGATATCCAAAATAGTCAACTTTCCTTTCAGATTGCTAAATGCAACTACAGATTCACACAAGACGGCATCACTGTATTAATATATAATAAATTAAAATGCAATAATATATGATGATGTCATTTAAAGCTTAAATCCTACAGAAACTGAAAACATCCTTTTATTAATTTAGGTTAAGAATGACACATACCAGCAGCAGGTGCAGCCCCAGCCCCAGCGGCCCCACCAGCAGCAGCGGCGGAAGGAGCCGCTACAGCGCCACCTGCTGGTACGGAGGCTAACTTAGAGAGGCCTGTGGAAAAAGGAAAATACTATTTTTAGCCATCTTCCAATGTATGGCATCTTGAAATCTTCAATGCATGTTCACTGAGAGGCCTTTACCTGAGTTCATGACTTCATTGATGTCTTTCCCATTCAGCTCACTAACGACCTGCAGAGAAATATAAGATTTACCGTCAGCCACACAGAATCTCCGGTGGAAACAAAACAGTTTTTATAATTGCATAATATACAGTTCTTAAACGGCATACCTTGTTTAAGCGTTCGTCATCGGCCTCAATTCCCACGCTGCCCAAGATGGCCTTGATGTCCTTTGCAGAGGGGCTGGTGTTTCCACCGAGCACAGCCAGGAGGTAAGCGGCCACGTAACGCATTCTGAGTTGACAGAAGAGACAAAACGGCACGTGAAAAATTTGTGTGCGACTCTGCAAGTTAGGCAACACTGACGTCAAGTCTGGGAGAGTAACATACTATAACGAAACCCCCAGGCCTCGACTTAGAGGCTTTTGTGTGTTAAATCCTGATGGAACTTTTCCTTCTTCCTGTTAAAATGCACCACAAATAACAGACATTACTTGATTCTGTTACCAACATCTTTAAATGGCTCCATAATAATCCATAATTGAGAGCTGGAATTATTAGTAGATCAAAGATTATTTTTCAAGCTAAATTGCAAAGCACGCCCTACTCTGCTTTTCAAATCATCATTAAGCTGATGAGGATTTGCTGCTTTTTCCTGTCTTATATTACAGTAAACTGAACATCTTTGAACTGTTGGAGTCAACTTGGGCTCTAGTCACCATTTTCACCATGAGATTTATCAGTTATGGAAGTAATGGTTAATTACAGGGCTGCAACTCATTATTTTCTTTATTAATTAACGTGCTGATTATTTTTTTCAATGGATGATTTGGAATATTAAATGTATACAAATGGCAAAAAAGCCAAAGCTTACGTATTCACATTTCTTATTTTGTCTGACAAACAGTCCAAAGGCAATGATATTCAGTTTACTACCATAAATTACAATTAAAAATCCAACAATATTCAATTGACAGCTCTAATTATGCTATAATATATGACAGGAGACAGACAAAACTGCACAAGTCTTGACCTAAAAAAAGACCCAAATGTAGTAGTCAACCTATTGTATACTTCTACTGTTGTTTTATCATTATATATTGTATATATTTTATTATAAAAAAGGTACATACTTGGGCTCTTATTATACATTTCTATTTCCATTTATTTTCTTTTTACTTGTACGTACATACCTATATACACATTTCTATTTATATACATTTTGTTAGACAGTGTAATATAATTATTATTTTATTCTTCAACATTGTGTGAGCCCCTTGAGCCACTTTAACAAACAAATCCCCCCCCCGGGAATCAATAAAGTATTTCTGATAGTATTGATAAATTATCCACTGTGGACTCTTCAGTACTTATAATCACCAGTAGGAGGCTGACGTTTATTTTTACTTTACCTATGATATAACAGACAGTGTGGCGTGTACACGAAGGGAACTGCAGCATAAATTAACAGTAATTATTCCAGAATACACTAATTAGTCTGAATATTACAGTTCTCTTACATTCAGTGAGTAAACACATGCTTGGGAGGAGCCCTGTGTGACGTTAGCTTTAGCTGTGTATTGAAACAATGCGTCAGACTTGAATCACACACAGAAACGAAGACAAGACTCAAAAGGCCGGCGTTAAGAGATTGTATTTCTCTATTCAGAGTTGTTAATTAACACTTATCCGGCTGTGATAAACCGAGTACTGCAGTGTGTGAGATTGAGAGCTAACAGAGGCAGCATGGCGCCCAGTGTTTTCCTGCAGCTGTCGTCCATTTCTGACAGCGGCTTCTACTCCATCAACGCCACTTGTTATTTTTCAGTGTTTGGTATTTAAAAACAACAGTCCCGCACATGTCCCATTTAAAACACAGCGAGATATTAATCAACCGACACACACGCGGTTTAAATTGCTCAAATGTGGACTTACTTTAAGTCTAAACAGACACGAAACGTCGGTCACGCTAGGAAATCTGGAAGAGAGAAGGAGGCGGTACGGGATGTTGTAGAAGAGTGGAATGCGTCGATTTCATTGGTCCATTTGGGATGACAGTGAGTATACGTCAGCGTTTTGATAACCCGATGAACCAATCTGTCACATTTATCCTGTTATTTACTACCTCTGTGTGTGTTTAGTGTTTAAATTACAACACTGAACACTCTCTATTGAAATATAAAGTAATGTGTTATTAAAAACATCGTTTAATCTGTGTGTGTTTTCTTATTATTTAGTAATGCAATAGAATCATCTCAGATGAAGACCAGGCTATAAACACTGTTCATGTATGTAGAGTATGTGTTTCATTTTCTTGGTTGAAACTTTTCATTTAATCTGCACTCTGTATTTGTTACTAAAATATATTTGACATGAAATAGGAATGTATTCAACACAACAACCTAGCGACTTGTAAAATGGTCAAATCTGAGGTGTGTTTTGCAATTCTGTGTTTTATCTGTTACGGCTGTGGCAGAAATATTTATATCTGATATTAAAGTAAAAGTAGCACCTCAGTGTAAACATGCATTCATGTAGAAGTATTACCAGTAAAACGTGCTGTATAAATCAAAATAACAGTTCTCACTATAGCATATTGTCCTTTTCAGAATGTTATTTGAATTGTTATTAATGATGCATATGTGTGAGCAGCATTTTTTTATGTTGTAGCTGGTCAAAATGGATATTGTATGACAGTTAAGTCTGACGTTACAGTAGGTTCAATTCTATATATTCTAGTATCGATATAGACGATTCACTATCTGTAAAATCATTCAACAGCTAAGCTGGCTAGGTGCTAACTATCAGATAGCAGTGTCCTCCTAAAAACATGGAGGATAAGTTAAAGTCAGCCGTAAAGTCCAACAGTACGCCCATGTACTAATAGTAAACTAGTAGGAGGAAGCTGATCTCGATCAAAAGGCTCAATTCAACTCTTGAAACATAATAATTTTCCCTAAATTGTCTCTTAAGTGGCTTTCTAATGTGCAAAATTTGCGGATGTATTCAATCGAATTATACGTGTTTAGCTTTTAATCATATTATATATAATGCATGTTGTACTGGTATCAGCATGAACAGAACATGTTAACTGGGATATTGGAAAATACACAAAGGAAGATTTATGACCAGAAGGTGGAGATGCTATAAGTCTTGTGTGCAGTATAATGTAGGACATAAAATGATTCAGGTAATTGCATACATTATTTATTTCCATTAAATCCCCATCCAATGCATTATTCAGAATTCATCAATAAGTTATTGTAAGTCAAGATGTAGCTATAAATGTATACTTTACTCTTTGCAATTACATGTGTGTATAACACTGTAGAAACACAAAAAAGTGATAATACAATCAATTTGTTGACAACCTACAGTTCAAACAACTCTTCCTGTCTCTCCTGGGTGAAGAGCCAGTCAAACAGAGAGACCACTGAATCTACCACACAATCTGCGATCTTCCTCACGTTTGTCACATACCACACTTTATAGCTACATTCTCCCAGAAACATGACGAGAAAAATCACCAAGAGGCAGAGGAAGATGCGGTCCATATAAAAGTTTGCCTTTTCTCTGAAGGTCCACTGCTCCCAAGGTAGCGCACGCCGGGCTTCGCCGTATTTACCCAAGTGTAACAAGGCTGCATGTTCATCCAGCTCTTCTTCTGGAGCCTCCAGGTCTTGGCCACCCTCTGCTTCATCTGTGTCAGCCATTTTATTGTGGTTTGATGCAGTAGATTAAAGTTTTCCTCAGTTATCTGACGATATTAAAATGATAAAAAGCATTAAAACTACAAGAAGTACAGATAATGTCTCTTATGAAGCTTCACACATTTTAGTTGCAGCTGTTTTTGGATGGATTTAAGGGTCTTACCTCCAAGAAGATTAATCAAAGATGAAGACAAGCTGCACGCACAAAATGGAGACTCTTGGCTTTTTGTCTCCACACCTACACCATGCTTGTGCCCCCTCTGCATTCAGTAGGCCACCAGCCACAAGGGTGTGTGTGGTGCGAAGGCAGTAAATGCCAGGTTGGTTATGCAGCACCTACCTCAGTAAGACGAGGGCTGAGGATTAGACTCAGCAGTTTCAAATCCCTCATCCCTCAGGATGAAGGTGACAGATGGTAAAATACGCATTGATATGTTTGTGCGGAAGAGACGGGGGGGGGGGGGCTGACCATTCCAAAAGACAGCATGTTCATGTGAAATTATTTAACCACACAAGTCTCCAGTGATCACAGCATAGGTAGGTAGATTTACATAAATCTGAAAAAAATAAACATCTGGTCCTCACTGAAAAAAGCAAACACAAAACCCACATATCAAATGACAGAAACATTTGAACATATACTTTCTAAACCAGATTAGACTGTTTGTTTTAATGTATTAAGTTCTGTGATTGAAAGTAGTGTGACATGGACTGAAACCCTACAAACTGATGACAAAGCAGAACTGACGTAGCTTTAGCAGAAGCTTTAGCTTTAGAGTTGGAATAAATCACTTCAGTATAATGCTCTGTGGGTAATTTACTCCAGTGCTTCAGCGCCTATTCAACACTCTGCCACAGCTATTGAAATATGGCTTAAACTAGCTGAATTAGCAGACAGAGGTGCCTGCATTCAGTGATAAGGACTAATGGCTGGTTTGCTTTGAGGTTGCCAGACTTTTGTTCCATTTAGTTTAGTGACTTTAGTGTTAATTTGTATTCCAGGCAGGGCCTTTTCACTTGTCTGTATATTGAATGGTTTCTGTGAAACATAAAATTTAAGAACACACAGTACTCTCTATTGATCTTACTCAATAAATCTTGCCATTCTGACTCTTCTGCTTTTCTTTACGTGACTACTCAAGCATCCAATGTACGCATTTGCAAATTAATTCTTTGTGCTCAATCTAATCTCATTTTTAGCCATGCTAGCAGCATTCAGATTAAAATATCTCCATGGATTGCCATTCAAGTTTGAACAGACATTTATGGAGCTGATCGGATGAATCCTAATGACATTTATGAATCCCCTGACATTTGTTCTAGTGTCACCAGCAGGTCAAACTTTTCACTTATCCAGCTGCTTATATGCCTTTTTATGAACAGCAAAATCATATCATCATCAATCATATGTGGTCCAAATCAGTGTGAACGGTCATATCAGAATTCATGTGACTGTTATGTCTCTTTAGATCAACATTCGTTGTGCGGTTTACTTCAGAACTGTGACCTGTCCACACTGGAATCTGATAGGGGTCACATTCAAAAAATAATGTGAACAGCCAAACAAATAAAAACAAACTTGAGCAATAAATCAGAATTGAGCACTTAGGCTTGCAGTGTGAATGTAGCCTTAGTCTTGTTTAGAATGTATTTAAATTTCTATAAATGAGAAATAAAACCAGCATATTAAATGAAGAAGCTATGAATGTTTATTCTGGTGAATTTACTAACAAGCTTTTTGAACATGGCATGTATGTTGCATCACTTATTATGTTGACATATTATAATTCAATATGAATCAATTAAGGAAGCAATAAGTGAAAAAAGAACAATGCAGGCTGATATCATTTTTTTCTGATTGCACATTTTCTTAAAATCTAACTGCGTCAGTGGGTCAGAAATGAACGTGTCCTGTGACTCGATGAAGTGCTTTGTTGTGTCAGTTAATGTGATGATATTCCAAATATCATGAGTATCATCCCCGTACTATCTCACTGTAAACCATGTATGCAGTAGTGGTGCAAGCCCTTGTTACACGTTTACATCCACTTTTTCCGTCAGGGCTGGCGTGCTGGTGCGGCATGGAGTGGGCTCTGTGGGTTTACATAACATGCAACGGCGAGTGATCTGGATCACCGTGACACGAAAGCGCTTTATTCTGAATGCATAAACCATTGGGTTGAGTGCTGAGTTCACATGGGACATGAAAATGCCTACATACATGGCAAACTTGGGTATGTCACATTTTGGACAGAAGAAGTTGATACAGTTCATGATGTGTATTGGCAGCCAACACACAGCAAAGAGGAAGACCACCAAGGCCAGCGATTTGGCCAGCTTCAGCTCCTTCCGATAGTACCTCTCTCCATCGCAAGTGGCTTCGGCACGCCGGTTAAGCTGTAGCCGGATCACCCGGAAGATCTCCGCATACAGAGCAATCATTATGGACAGTGGTACCACCACCCAGCCGAAGAAGTTGAAGTACACCATGTAGTCCATCCTCATGACAGTGGTGAATTCGCAGACGATGTCGCTGGAAATGCTGAGGTTTCTCTGAGCATCACGGTTATTCCATCCAGTCATTGGAACCAATCCAGTGAGGAAGGAGAGGATCCAGCACAGACAAACTGCCACATATGCCCTCCTCTGGGTCACTATGGTGCTGTACCTGAGCAGGGTTATTAGGGGAAAAAAATGAAGACAGGGTTTTCAATCACATAAATACATTATACATTATACTGGATTAGTATTTGTTTGAACAAATTCTAGTGCATAGTTTATTATTTAGAAGCATTTTCGGTGTTAGGATTCAACTGGTAAACAAAAAGTAGTAGGAGCGACTGCCAAATTCCCATAACAAACTGTGCCTATGTCAGTTATCCAGGACATTTTAATTTGCTTAAAAGCTTTTGATGTCCAGCCCATTAATTTGCATTAAACCAGGCAACGATATATGGCGCCACGTCAGACATCACCGGGAACCAACTCTTCTAGATTGACTCTCTGAAGCTAAAAGCACACATTTAGCTGTCTGATGCTAAAAGCAATAAAAAAGTAAAACCAAAGACTATTGGTACTACTACAATTGTTCTTGTAGTAATATCCTTGAGGCATTTTAAATGGATGGTAAATGGACTTGTAGTTCTTCAGCACTTTTCTGGTCTACAGACCACTCAAGCACTTTACAACATTTGTTCACACACTGATGACAGAGGCTGCGATGCAAGGTGCCAATTTGTACTCAAAGTACAAAGTACTCACGATAGTAAGCTCACCCATACACTCACACACCCACGGCATAGCCATCAGGAGCAACTTTTTGGTTCAGTATTTTGCCCAAGGGGAATCGAACCAGCGACCCTCCAATTACTAGATGACCTGCTGTCCCACCTGAGCCACAGAAAGTAGGATTATCAGAAAATTAAGGGCTTTTGCTCTTTGAGGAAGATGTTGATTCTGACTGCAGTCTAAGACAATTAATTTTGGGTAATATAACTAAAAGTTACTTGACTTGATCGGATTGATTCATTCTGTGTACTGTGGCATCAATACAATTCTTCTAAAATCAAGCTTTAATTAATAATTATTATATCAATACAGTAGAGGAATAGTTTAGATCATAGTTTATTTTTTAGCAAGGAAGCTGCAATGGACCTGAAAGGGAATCACATTCTGCTTCCTAATGCTCTCACTTATATTTTATTATTCTTACTTTGCACAGTGAGATACTATACTATACTATACTTACTATATTGATACTGTAATACTTTTCATAACAGTATCTTCACAACATTCATCCTCCAACACCAAACAACCATACCAATCTCTACTTTCTTTTCTAAATTCTGAGAAAAACAAATGACACCCTTCAAAGGAAATTGCAACCAACTGATTTTACAACAGTCCCTCACCTGGTGGGAATCTTGATTCGCAGATATCGGTCGATGGCAATAGCCAGCAGGGAAAGGATGGAGCTCTGGGTGATGATCAGCAGCAGGCAGGAGAGGAAGAGGCATGTGTAGAACTGAGTGCTGAATCCCAGACTGATGATAATAGCCAGAGGGATGACCAAAATCCCCACAGCGATGTCTGCCACAGCCAGAGACACAATGAAGCAGAAGGTGGTGTTGCGGAGATCCCTGTTCACACACACAGCCACAACCACCAGCACATTCCCCAGCACAGATGCCAGGGCAATGGCTGTCTCAATGGAGATGTACATCATGTCCACATGCTCCCGAGGTTTTATTCCAGGAGAGGAAGACATTTTTACTCTGCACAGGTCTTGCTTACCTTTACTCAAAAATTATTTTGGTTGTTGAAACTTCTAGCCTCCACTTTGGGGTTTGCTTCAGCAAAAACATCTTCCACTATGTATGTTCTCTAGCTTAAAGAACTGTACTTTTTCTCTTTTCCACATTTAAACAATGAGTGGCCCTTGTGCTCATGTAGGGACGTTGGACGATTAATCCTCAGCATGTTGTTCCAGCTCATCACAGGAATGGGTACCAGTGCATCACTACTCTTCTACACCCTTACTCTCTCTCTTACTCACTCTCTAGTCTATAAAAACGAGTCATAAAGTCAAGGGGAGGGACTTTGCTTTCTGCAGCAATCCTCTGCCTCTGCAGTAATAGTTTTGGTCACATTAAGTGTTTACATATGTGTGGTTTTTGAGAGAAACTGTGATCTTCATATAATAACTGGCAGGATGCATTTTGATAAAGCTTTTAATTATAATGTGCATTAGAGCTGAGAGCTTTTATAACATTACAAATGCGTTTGTCCATCTGACAGCACTGACAGCACAGTTTATTTTTCAATCAATCACGACTTATCTTCGTCAGAATTCTTTAGTCACTTAAGGGATCCAGCAGAGATTATATTACTATGTGACTTTGTAACTCTAAAAAACACAGTATCAGTCAACCTCACAGTGATAACAAGGCTCCAGGAAATCACAGCCCCTCGCCAAAATAAGAGTCTCCTAAAACCAGATATAAGTAGCTTCAGAGGCGCTGCTGGTTTACAGGCTAGTTGTCTCCCTGGCTCTCAGTCTTTATGCTAAACTAAGCTATCCAGTTTCTGGCTGCTTTATATTTAATGGATAGATCTGAGAGTGGTATTAATCTTCCCGTCAAGAAAACAAAAAGATTGACCAAAATGTCGAATTAATGCAATGCAATATTAATGCAAACAATTGCAGTTATATGAATATTTTATTGTTGTGATAAATGTTGGATCCAGCTCTTTGCGTTTTTGCCCATGTAGGTCGATTAGTGTTAGATTTCATCATCTTTCGGATGACAGAGGTCTCTTCCTGTTCTTCTTATAATCCCGACATATATGCATGTTTTTCTTTAATCATGCAATGTATGAGTGAAATTGGGTTATGTCACTATTTCATCTATTATCATTAGTAAAATCCTATATCAGCACAGCTGTAATTGGAATTCTACCTTTCTGCAGTAAAGCGCCTTTTATGTGTTCTCAATTTTGAGCAGTTATGTCGTTTTAGTGTATAGATTTAAGAGGTGTTTCTTAAAATTAGTCAAATAGCATAAATGTTTTAGCGTCACAGTAATGGCATGTTTGTTTTCATCTCTTACTCCTTATGTTGTTCTCCAAGTAACTTAAGCCCGGTCCCCTATAACTTGGACTCTGCAGGATAAAGTGCAGGGAGGAATTAGATCCAAAAGTTCAATTACTTAGAAAAACTTAATTTAATTGTCCATCCAAGCATGAAAAGACTTTGGCAACAAGTATCACTGAGCAAGCAATCACTGAGATGGTCTTCAGTTGCTTAAGGAAGCAGATTCAATGTCTGCTTGTAAATATATTCAGTCTGATCACTTTCCTTTTTCTTTTTTTTAAAAGAAAGCGATGACTCAGGATGTCGTTTTGGGACATTGGCCATGATCTCAGGCTCTGAGCAGCAGATACTGATTTAGTTTTATTAGTCCCCCATCATCCCACATGCCTTTATTAGCTCAAGTAGGAGTCTACATGCATTAACGCTTCTGGAGATGCAGTCATTGTAAATGAAATACTGCAGGATGTATTAAACATATTGGTTTAGCGCTCAAGAAACCCATTTCTTTGCTGCGTTTTTTTTTCTTTTTTCCCTCTTCGATCAATTGATTGTAAATATTATACTTTGTGGTAGTGTGGCTTTATTAATAATTCATAAAAAAATGACTAAGAAATGCCATTCTTCTGTACCATCAATTGCTATTGTAAACCAGTGGTTTCAGCATGCCAACAAAAATAAGGATTATTTTAGCCTTTTAAAAAAAAAACAAGGTAAAAAAAAACGTATACTCTGCCATCATTATCAATTATTTACATAATGTAGATCCTAATTTCTTCCACTGATATTCCTCTACAGACGACTGCCCTTGGTTGCACCGAACAACACATCATTTTCCATAAACTGAAGTAATGAATTTGATTATGGCCTTGCAGGGATCCGCCTGCACATGTGCCACAGGGATTACATGACAGTAAAGCTTCTATTACCGGTTCCAATTATCAAAATTATTCTCAACATCCTCACCGAGCTTTCCTGTTTAATGTAGAATTTATTTCACTCATATTAATACTGCACTGCTATGCCATCTCTGTTTGTGTCTAATCAGTCAACCTCAGCAGTTTTCTAAAAGGATATGAGTGTTCAAATTAATAAGCTGAAGTGAAGAGAATGGCACTCATGAGATAGCCCTGTTTGCACCAGCCAGAGAGCGTTTCTATGTTGCTTGTTTTGTGTATTGGTTTTGTTGGTTTTTCTGAATACCTAACTACAAGGTGCAATTCTTATTTTGTTGCACACACTATGTCAAACAGGAAATTAATGTGAATGAATATTTCTGGAGACTGACTCATTAGTAGGTTAACCTACCCATTAGGGCAATAAGGAAAAAAACAACCCATCCATCCAAACCCTCTCATCAGTGCAGAGGCAGTAAAATTGTGCAGTTAATCTGTTGTCTAGCCCACAGTTGTATTAGTATCGAAGAAATCAAACACTACTTTTGCTAATTCAATCTAAATAATATACTAACCAAATCGAGGCACAGTAATAGATTTACGAGTATATCACTGAAATGTTGGCCTTCTTGAACTTGTATCAGAAGAAGAGCCCCATTCGAACCAGTCCACTGGATGTAAGATTAATATTTGCTTTTCTTCAGTCTCATAATTGTGAAAAACTCTGGATCTTTTAGCTTGCTTGATGCTTGAGTTTCTTCATCACTCGGTGATTTGTTTTAGCTCTGTGCCATTTGAGGGCATAAAGTCAGCTTGTGTGCTGGAAAAAGCTAAGCTCTGATGCACCGGTGCGTTACAGGTGCCAGAGTGGCAACAGCAACCTCAAAGTTTAGGTTTGTAAAATCTAACAATGAGTGTTAGTAGACAGGCTAGCCTAAATTGTCCCCTCAAACGCTCATTTATACAGTTGTGATGCTACATTGCCTTTGTGTCAGCAGTACTGGCCAGCTATGGCTGCAAACACATAGGATCATATACCATTGTATTGCCTAACATTAATGCAGTGAAGATGACGAACAAATGAACGTCTTTGCTGCAAACTTGTTTCAATTTCCGATGGAGAAAAATACAAACATTCGGGATTTGGATCAATGTCATCTTTGACAACCTCAATCAGCATTACTAGTTTGTGCACTTAAAAGTTTTTTTTTTAGATGGTGCAATAATACCTCACTCATGTCTGTTCCCCATTCCCACGGTCACAAACACACACACACATAAATGTAGACATATGATAATGGTAGCTAGTGAAGTGCAATTAGAATCTAACTAGCTATGTTACCATAAACATTAACTAAAGCTGTCTACATAAGATACCACTGTTGGCTAGATCCTCAACAGGTCTGCTAATGCATTAAAATGATCAACAAATGCAGTAATTTCATTAACTAATCAGTGAGCAAGTTTGGAGAACACTAAAAATAAATGCTTGCCCCACAACCCCCATTGCTTCCGCCTTTTCTGATTAAGTGTGTTGCAACTGTTGTGAAGTGTTGCAACTCTATGGTGCTGCAACCTTTATGTCATTGGCTCCCTAATATCAGTCACCATCACCCACATGGTGCTATGCGATTTTACCAACAACATCACAACGTGTGTGTGCTCAATAATATGATGCATGTATTTAAGTGTGCGGAAATGTTTACTATAAATATTATTTTTGGTGCATTTGATGACATATTAATGTCATTTATTTATTTTAGCATTTATTTTGTATTGTTTTGCCACTTGCAGTCGATGGCATGAGTTATTTTTGATTCTTGTTTCTTAAGGTCAGGTTTTTAATTTTTAGCTTAAATGTATGTTTAATGTATGTTTCTATGTATCTAGTTCAAGTAAATGGTGGCAAGCTAACGTGCTAAAATAACGTGCATTCATGACCAGGCAGATCAAAAATTATGAGTCAGAATCAGGTCAGTGATTAATAAAGGCTTGTGGCTATCACAGCTATCACAGCCAGGGGCGATGCCAGGAATTTTGGGCCCAAAAAAATCCTACATTGGGCCCCCCTCCTGCGGGCTAAGGCCAGGACCCAAAACCACTCTTCAATGCCAGAACAGGCCCCATGTGGTCGGTCCAATATGATGTTCATACCCTTTTTGGTCCACATGGGGATATTATACTTTAAATCATCAGCAGCCTAAAACAAGTCAAAAACAAAGAGAATCATTAATTCTATTCATATATATTCATGAAATACACTATACTGAATGATGATTTCCCATGGTAGCACTGCAGCCTCCTCCTTGCCTCGTCCCTCCTCTCTTCTGGGCAACCTCTTCATGTCCACAATTCACATCGCATTTAACTAACTTTCACTTCTTGCCCCGGGAGTTCCATTGTGCCTTTACGTCTCAGGTTCTCATGGCGCTCGCGCGCTGGCAGTCCTGCTGGTCCTGCTCAGAACTCGGGCCATTGCTAATATCACCTGCGATATTTCGTCTTATTATGCTATTCACCCTCTGTTGCTTGACTACCTTACGTATTCTGTTTGCTGCGGTTTGCTGTTCGTCGCTAGCATCCGCTGTTCCCCCTGTCGTTGCTGTGTCGCCGTCGTCCACCGTCTCGTTATTCCATGATCACTTCATCCCGACTCATTATCTAGTTAATGCTAGTTGTGGCCTTCTGATTGTTCGCTGTACATCTGTACTTCGTCTCTTCCTTCCTCTGTCTCTCTCTGTCTCTCTCTCTTCTCTCTCTTCTCCCCAAACTCGTCAAGGCAATGACGCACAACCACCTACGAAGCCGAAGGGTCCTGTCCGAGGTTTTGCTGCCCCGTGTAAAAGGCACCTCTTTCTCCTTGCCGTCGCCAGATGCTTGCTGCATGGTCGGTACTGCTTGGGCGCCTGACAACTCTGTAAA